AATCATCAGTTTGATACGTGGTCAGGTGACCCAGGTCAGTCAAGTGAATCATCAGTTTGATACGTGGTCAGGTGACCCAGGTAAGTCTAGTGAATCATCAGTTTGATACGTGGTCAGCTGACCCAGGTCAGTCTAGTGAATCATCAGTCTGATACGTGGTCAGGTGACCCAGGTAAGTCTAGTGAATCATCAGTTTGATACGTGGTCAGGTGACCCAGGTAAGTCTAGTGAATCATCAGTTTCATAGATGGTCAGCTGACCCAGGTCAGTCTAGTGAATCATCAGTTTGATACATGGTCAGCTGACCCAGGTAAGTCTAGTGAATCATCAGTCTGATACGTGGTCAGCAGACCCAGGTAAGTCTAGTGAATCAACAGTCTGATACGTGGTCAGCAGACCCAGGTAAGTCTAGTGAATCATCAGTTTGATACATGATATAAGAAATACATGACTGTACATATGAAATAATACTCGTTACCGAATTCACCAAATTCACTGTATATGGTTGTACCTGTAACCTATACTACTATGTATTTGTTATATATTTTCTGCTGCTTCACATTCATGTTACTGCCTTCACGTGAAACGTATGACATATTACCTTCTATGTTTGGAAGTACTAGTGCACATGTTATAATCATTATATGTGAGGTACAGCCGTATCTCCACATAAACCACAGTACGTTTGTCTTATATTTCTATTAAAATAGAAATACCGTAAATACCAACCATCGACATGTGCAGTGGAACATAGCAATACCACTTATAACGCGGCTACCTCTCTTTAACAAGGTGTTTTGTGTGGATTGAATCATCTGACAGCTGCGATTGGATGATTATCTGTTAGATCTGTTTTTATTGTGGCTTTAAGGCATCATTGTGCATGTATATATATGTAGTGGATGTTAAAGGTCTGGTTATATTTAGATCATATAACATTACTAGACATTTTTGTGTGTGTAACCCGTAGCAAAGCTAAAAATGACACAGTAGCCTCTCCTTGCAGGAGTCCTGCCTCACAGGTTCCACTACACGAGACCGCCTCCGTGGCTAGTGGTTAGAGCGGAAGGTCGCGGGTACGATCCCCGACCGCGTCATACCAGAAGACGTTAAAATATGGTACTTGTTGGTCCCTGCCTGGCGCTCGGCATTAATGGGTACAACAAGGACTGGTCGGCTCGGAGTCAGTATACTGTGTCTGAGTGAGGTATTCATGCTTCACTGCGGCATGGTATCTCAGTGGGCTAGCACTATAAAACCAGCTTAAGTCTGGGCTAGTACAAGCAGCCGCACATACACATACACACGCATGCACGTCGTCATATGAGCGAAATATTCTCAAGCACGACGTAAAACCCAATTTCACCTCACCTCACCTCACCCCCACTACACTAAATGAGAATCGCATGCTCCCTGAGCGAGAACCGTGTGTAAACAGCTGAAGAGACAGAGACATGTGACAGATTTTTATGTATTTTTATTTATGTACAATTTTAAGTATTTAGTGCTGTCATTTTTATCACCATGACTTATGTTATTGTAGTGGGTTATTTCCAGTGGGTGAAGTTTGGTGCGGAACTGGGGTTGATGTGTTCCGCTTCCTGTCCTCGGAAAATTAGTCGGACAAGTTTGGCAGGAATTGTGCACCAAGTCCGAATTAATGAGGAGTGACAGGAGAGGGAAAAACATATCAAGCCCTGGGTCTACCAGACAATAATAAATGGATGTGGCAGATATCTTAAAAGACATTTTTTCGTTAGATACGAGAAACATCCACGGGTATGTGACTCACCTGGAAACAGACTTGGCTTGACCAGTGTTTGCCATGAAGTAGAAAACCTACGTATCTGACTCCCCAAAACATGTCCATGACTCCCCTCTCATGACACGAGGAGTCATGATGACTCGTAAAGTTTTATGCCACGGGCAAACCATGTCGGACTGCTGTCAATCACATCAGTTTAGAACCTATCAGTACTGATGGAAAGGCTGCGAGGAGAGCCTGCAGTGAAGTTCAATTTCCAACTGAGATCTAGAGAACTGCACGAAGCTCATCGAACCATGTATCATGTCTTCTGCTGATGGGGCGGCTGTTGTTAAATACATTACCGATAAATTATAATGTTTAAAATATCAGTACTTAATTACACATTAAAATATTGGAAATTTAATCTTTCTGAATTGAAGCTGATACGCGTATGCATTTTCTATTATCCAGTGGTTATTTGTTTTCAATGCTCCATGTTACTTACCATCCGATCGAGCTGGGCACGTACAACCTGGGGGAGGAGAATTGATCATTAAGGTGGAGGATATGCAGTATTTATGTTCTATATACACTTATTCTAATTGAATAGATGGATGCCCGTGATGTCAGCCACTGGATTGTCTGGCCCATACTCAGATATTTCACATCTTTTTTGTAATATCTATAGAAATGGTGGATGCTTATTCAGAGTCTATTATTAATCAACCAACCAGCCAACACCTGCGCGTAGATGTTCCCCAATTTTAACAAATTTGCAAGATGCTACCTCTGAAAGGAAAATACATAAGGTTTCTCAATACCGAATGCCATCCTTCTAGCACTTCTAGTAATGTACCGAGAAGCCCCAGATGATGAAAGCCTTAGGCAACCATTTCACAAAGAAACGTATCGAACTAACATTGAAGCTTTTCTTGAATGCTGTAAATATTTTCATATGTCATAATAACTATCTCTGTACATAGGTCTCTACCATTTCTGTACTATATTTCTTTCTATATTACATGTATGTTGTTGTATATTTATCATGTTGTAAATACTCGGGGGATGGTTACCTAAGTTGGATAACGTGTTCCTCGTCCCTTTCTTTACTGGATAAAATATGTTTAAATCAATAAATCAAAGAACAAATTGAACATGCTAGTCTTCTTGGAGGTTACGGAAATGGGAGAGTGGATGCACTGCTGCCATTCGTCACCGCTCGCCCCTTTCCGTAACCTCCAAGAAGACTCGTCCCCCACTCGATACTTGTTATGTGCGAAAATACGACAAACCAATCAGAACGCGCGTAAATGAGCGCTGTGCTTTGATAAAATTAATCCCGAGTACTTAAATCGTTTATGGCATTATGCCATTGTTTAAAAAATCGTGAAAAACACATATCGTCATATTCAAAGTACAAAGAACGTAGCTAAAAGGATTTCTCTGCCTATTATGAAGTTTTTAATAAGAATCATGCGATTGACGGTGAGAGATTCAACTACACGCACATGCGTTTGTTGACATAATTGCTCTCATGGGTCCAACTGAGTGTATTTCTGACGATCTTGCGGGCTTGTTATGCAGATTGTATGTGCGCTTCGACCAATTTTAGGAAATGTAATTATAATCGCTACCAGTTTCAAAACAATAATATCGTATTTGTACGTAACTAATCAACCTTAATCTTTAACATTGGGTTATATTTCATATCTCTGGGGATAATTTAGTCTGACTGTTTTTTGGTCATTCATTTTTTTATTTTATTTTTTTCAGTGAATTCATTTAAAATTCCACCAGGGGTGTGACAGCAAGGTTACACCAATGTTCAGTTTGAGAAATATTTTAAAGTCATTTTCGAATATCTGCTTTGGGATTTATTGTAGCTGAATTTTGTTTATTTTGTTTGTATACTCAATAAAACAATTCCCATTTGTGATGATTAACCCTATTAAGAACCCTATTAATTAACATAATCGGAAATATAAGGTGAACAGCTGGTAATAATTACATTAGAATATGTCTTTAACAAATATGTTTTTCTCCTTCTTTTAGTTGTATCAAAGAGGTTTCATTCTTTAAAATAAATAAGTGAAAAAAAACAAAAAACAACAACCTAGCAATACAATGTACATGTGCTTCGGTGATTTTTAGAAACATTGGAATCAAACAGGGATAAGGTTATCGTTCTTGTTGAAAGTAGTTCTGATGTTCATGCGCCAATATGAAATCCTTCCAGAGGGGCACGAGTCGCTATTCGGCTTGTCCCGGAATAACACGAGTTGGTCACGAATGCACTGCTGCAAGACTCGGTAAGACTCGGTAGGGAAACCCTGTTGTCTGTGTCTGTCTGTCTGTCTGTCTGTCTGTCTGTTGTTTAAAGCTGCGCTCAGCAATATAGCGGCAGTCTGCAAATAATCGAGTCTGGACCAAACAATCCAGTGATGATCAACAGCTTGGGCATCGATCTACGCCATTTTGATACGATGACATGTGTCATCCAAGTCAGTGAGCCTGACCACCCGATCCCGTCAGTCGCCTCTTACGACAAGCATGCGTTGCTGAAGACCAATTCTAACCCGTATGTTCACAGACAGAAGCTCTGTGGTAAAAGCCTTCGCTCGTCACGCTTGTTTGTTTGTTTGAACATATTTGATTCAATGTTGAAAGGAATTGGGCACAAGTTATTACCGCCCGCTTCCATCAGAAACATGAATGCTCGTCACGCTGAAGGTCTGGGTTCGATTTCCCTCATGGGTACGATCTTTGAAGCCCATTACCGGCGGCGAAAACCACCCACACCCTAGACTCTACTTCACGGAGGACCGAAACAATTACATTATAAACAAATCATTAATTTATATCAGGATATCCAGCAAACATCTTTTAAAACTTGAGAAAATTAATTTATTAGTATTTTCAGGAATTGTTTTTTCTCTCACAAGGACGGTATTAATATTACACAACATCCGGTCAACGTTGCCCCGACGTATATGGATAATAAGCATAGGTGTGGGGAAATCCCCTTGAGTTGAGGCCTTGCAAGGGTGAAGCTGTCTTTTGATAGAAATACGGATGTCTGCCAAACCACCCGATAGGGGGGATGGTTCATTAAATAGATGCATGTATTGTTTTGCATAACGTGAAAACTGAAAAAGGCAACTACAGAACAGACGCGATAAATTTTCCACCTCCTCAGAGCCTCAGTGCCCCAGGTGTAGCTCCTTCGCTGAGAAGGGTTATGACAATGCACAAAATGGCTGAGAGCTTCGAGACGTTCTGTGGACATTCTGCTATTTTCGTAAGTATAAATAGGTATCAAGTTGTAATTTATTCAAATTGTGTGAAAATAATGATTGTTACCAATCTAACACATACGAAAATAATTACATCGTTCATTTTATTAGATAAACGACGATCGGTTTTACAACCACTTACTGACCTGTGCATGGTTGTCATTCAGAAGCACGGACAAACATTTGATATGCTTCAGAGTTAGCACTCGGTTCTTTTGCCCTTTTCAGCTTTCTTTCAGTCAACGCACCATGCCAGTTATAAACCTTAAAATATTTATATAATAACATGCGGTTCAGAAGGATATTGTTGGTTGTTTGTCGTTGTTAAGTGTTCTCAAGCCACAGTGCTTTGAAAACTTGAGATGGGAGGGATCTCCCTTAATATCTTTGGTTGGTATAGCAAATTAAGAAAGATGAAAACATAATTATCAGATCATCTCACACCAAATGCAATGAAATATATGTCCGTTGTAAGAATGTTAATAGTACCAAATATAGGACATTCACAATCATGCAGGTACACACCGTACCATGACTCAGATACACATGTCGGTGAACAGACAAAAATGGCGCACTGTAGGTACGACAGAAGTGTGTGTCTCGACAGTTGCATAAGTGAGTGAGGGAGGGATTTTTGTTTTACGACGCTTTCAGCAATATTCCAGCAATATCACAGCGGGGACGACAGAAATGGTCTTCATACATTGTACCCATGTGGGGAATCGAACCCGGGTCTTCGGCGTGACGAGCGAACGCTTTAACCATTAGGCTAACCCGCTACGCTACATTGTAGCATAAGTACCGTCAAAAGAGAGACCTTGGTGTGTCACGCCACCTTTGTAGGGGGTGTGGTGGGCGAGGTGACTGAGGTGCGGGCATCGAGCTCGCCTGTGACCGGGTGTAAAAACCCTTGAGTCAACTTTGTGTGCAGACTCTTTCAGATTCCAAACTGCTCCTTGCATCAACAGACTATTCCCTACAATAGCAAGAAGTCGAATTTCTGCACCAGGGCGTCCTGAGAAGGGCGTGGCCCCGACAGCAATCCACTGGCGGCAAGGTTTGGGGCGCCTGGGCAGTGCAGGACTGGCAGTGCTCCTATGGCGTGATATAATGTGTTCCAGACGAATCAAGGCTTTGCTTCTCATTCACCAACCGAAAACCTTGTTGTCCACAAAAAGGAGCGCGGTATGCAAGGGCAACAATTATTGACCCTGATCTATACCGTGGAGGGAGTGTCATGGTGTTGTCCGATATCACACATGAAAACTGATTTCATGACCGCAATATCTCTCTGGCCAGCCATATCCGCTGGAAGTATCGGCAAAAACCGTTTTACTGAAAGATGAGAATGTCAGACCGCATCGTGTCAAGTCTAGACCTATTATCTCTGACGAGGATGCATACGGACTGACCCCCCAGGGCCCAGGGCCCCTTGACCCGTGAAGATCCGGGCTAGAATTGATCTTCAGTAACCCATGCTTGTCGTAAGAGGCGTCTAACGAAATCGGGTAGTCAGGCTCGCTGACTTGATTGACAATTAGACAATTGGACAGCTACCTGTTTTGGGCATTGTCTTTGCATTGTGCAGAGTATATACACTATGTGTGTACCCTCGAATCACTTGATACTAGAGTTTAGGCAAGCAACTATATTATAACAGGTAGCTAACCTGTTGAGATTTGTCAGAAACACCCGTAATATGGTTAACAAACTGCAAGTCTCTTTGTTGCAGCAGAGACTGAGGCACAGTTTGTATTGGATATTGCTACTGTGTTAAACTCCGAGGTTTCCCGTCATTTCAGAATGAGAGTCTACTAATAGACAACTGGTGGCCAGAATTCACGCCATGTTTCCAGAACACTCTCCTTGTCTGGGTACCCTGTGGGTGGCTGTGGTTGACCTTGCCCATCTATCTCGGCTACATGTGCAAGGACAAGGACTCCAGACCTCTTCCCGTCAACATGCTGAACACATCAAAGATGGTAGGCCACAGTGAGTGAATGAGTGTGTGAGTGAGGGAATTGGCCATTTCTGCCGATTTGAGTTCAAAGCGTTGACTGGTTTGTTAGCATTTCCTAGGAATAAAGAATTGGTGAGCATATGTGCCTGAAGTTGTCGATCGCTGCCCAAATACAAATCAGTTGCTTGTTTTCATTCAAATACTATATGGTTTAATTTATTTTTTTTTATTTTTGTTTTGTTTTGTTTATCTAAACAAACGATACAGATAGTTACTGTTGACATCCTGAGCACTAGCTAACCTAGAAACATAATGAGAGGAAATGTGGGGTTCGAACCCACGATAAAAGGTTTCTGGCACGCCCAAGAAACGCAGCGAATTGCGCCATCTTGGACGAGAGTCCGGCAGTCGCCAGTAGATCTAGGTTCATATTGGTTGATATTCCTGCTTGGTTACTGCAATTCCAGTAAGTCCCGTGACCATTGTATAACGTTGTTTATTCAACATACGTTTGTTTCCAACAATAGCTGATCGTGTAACTTTAGTTTTTCAGCATCTTTCTGAGTTTCATCTGCATCATGGATGTCATGAAGGTCGTGACTGATGGAGAGAAGGAGGATGTCGTCACGGCGTTTTACGTCGCCAAGGGCTTGCAAGCCGTTACATTTGTACGTCAAAATTACGACAACTTGTCACACTTCATCCATTTTGAGAGTAGATGTTTTTTTGTTTTTAACCATCAAGCAGTTTGGGATGATTCCAGAGAGAGTGCGATTTTACGCCGCTGTTAGCAACAATGCGGCAATACATTAGCTGGGGAGACCAGATATAGGCTCCTCACAATGAGCCCATCGCGGGAAACGAACCTGGGTCTTCCCCATGACGGGTTAATCCTTCATCCACTTGGCTACCCGACTTCACCGATACTATAAGAAAACAAGACATATAGCAATAACATTGTTCATTTTGACATATAAATATATATCTTACACCGATAAACACTGTGAGAAATAAGATCACAAAAACATATAAAAAATCCCTTGATAACCAAAACATAAATGAATGTATTATGTTTAGCACTACCCACTGCCAGTCTGAGGCACCGTTTTCCGCGATATAATTGGTTGCTTGAGAGTTATCCGGATCACTGATTTTGCGTTTACAAAAAAAAGTCGCGTAGGAGTCGTCATAGCAACCAACTGATCGCCTGTGCCGAATATGAGTGGAGTAAGTCAAAACAACGCGACAAGGTAACCTCACTTTTTTACCAATGACGTCATTAGGGGTTTTCGTTCTCTCCAACACTGGCGGTATTTCTAAATAACTCATTGCAGGTTATGAAGTCAGCCAGATTCCTGGTATAAATAAACATTATGCTGCGACAGTATAAACATTGAGTCATACTCCGGGATGGTGTATTCATTCTATCCTTTATGAAATGATCCCAAATATAAACTTACTTTTCAAACTGAAAACGTAATCACCGTAATAATTATTTTAAATCAATATCGCAGATATGTACAATATCGATAGTATGTACATTATCGACAGTATATGTAGTTTTATGGCAAGTGTGAATACGCTCTTGAGTGAAACACAGAAGCCTCTTCAAGCCTCACCCGAGGTGCCAGGTATCGAGACAGTGTTAAGGGACAGTTGAGACAGATCGGTAACTGATAAAATCAGCGACTTCTTACACACACTGCGTTGATCTTTTCTTCAGCTGCTGGCGGCCATTTTGGTTCAGCTGGAACGCAAGCGTGGTTTCATCACATCCGGAGTTCAGTTCATCTTTTGGTTGATGACATCACTGGCAGGAGTGGTGCCAGTCTACAGTAAGATAATACAACAGGTGGGTATGTGTCAGTCTACATTAGGATAATACAACAGGTAGGTATATATGTCAGTCTACAGAATAATACAACGGGTGGGTATATATGTCAGTCTACAGTAGGATAATACAGCAGGTAGGTATGTGTCAGTCTACATTAGGATAATACAACAGGTAGGTGTATATGTCAGTCTACAGTAGGATAATACAACAGGTAGGTATATATGTCAGCCTACAGAATAATACAACGAGTGGGTATATATGTCAGTCTACAGTAGGATAATACAGCAGGTGGGTATATATGTCAGTCTACAGTAGGATAATACAACAGGTGGGTATGTGTCAGTCTACATTAGGATAATACAACAGGTAGGTATATATGTCAGTCTACAGTAGGATAATACAACAGGTAGGTATATATGTCAGTCTACAGTAGGATAATACAGCAGGTAGGTATATATGTCAGCCTACAGAATAATACAACGGGTGGGTATATATGTCAGTCTACAGTAGGATAATACAGCAGGTGGGTATATATGTCAGTCTACAGTAGGATAATATAACAGGTGGGTATGTGTCAGTCTACATTAGGATAATACAACAGGTAGGTATATATGTCAGTCTGCAAAATAATACAACGGGTGGGTATATATGTCAGTCTACAGTAGGATAATACAGCAGGTGGGTATATATGTCAGTCTACATTAGGATAATACAACAGGTATGTATATATGTCAGTCTACAGTAGGATAATACAGCAGGTAGGGATATATATCAGTCTACATTATAATAATACAGCAGTTAGGTATATATGTCAGTCTACAGGGTAATACAACGGGTAGGTATATATGTCAGTCTACAGTAGGATAATAGAGCAGTTAGGTATATATGTCAGTCTACAGGGTAATACAACAGGTAGGTATATATGTCAGTCTACAGTAGGATAATACAACAGGTAGGTATATATGTCAGCCTACAGAATAATACAACGGGTGGGTATATATGTCAGTCTACAGTAGGATAATACAGCAGGTGGGTATATATGTCAGTCTACAGTAGGATAATACAACAGGTGGGTATATATGTCAGTCTACAGTAGGATAATACAACAGGTAGGTATATATGTCAGTCTACAGTAGGATAATACAACGGGTGGGTATATATGTCAGTCTACAGTAGGATAAAACAGCAGGTGGGTATATATGTCAGTCTACAGGATAATACAGCAGGTGGGTATATATGTCAGTCTACATTAGGATAATGCAACGGGTATGTATATATGTCAGTCTACAGTAGGATAATACAGCAGGTAGGTATATATGTCAGTCTACAGTATAATACAACGGGTAGGTATATATGTCAGTCTACAGGATAATACAACGGGTGGGTATATATGTCAGTCTACAGTAGGATAATACAGCAGGTGGGTATATATGTCAGTCTACAGTAGGATAATGCAGCAGGTAGGGATATATGTCAGCCTACATTAGGATAATACAGCAGGTAGGTATATATGTCAGTCTACAGGATAATACAACAGGTAGGTATATATGTCAGGCTATTGTAGGATAATACAACAGGTAGGTATATATGTCAGTCTACAAAATAATACAACGGGTGGGTATATATGTCAGTCTACAGTAGGATAATACAGCAGGTGGGTATATATGTCAGTCTACAGTAGGATAATACAACGGGTAGGTATATATGTCAGTCTACAGTAGGATAATACAACAGGTATGTATATATGTCAGTCTACAGAATAATACAACAGGTGGGTATATATGTCCGTCTACAGTAGGATAATACAGCAGGTAGGTATATATGTCAGTCTACAGTAGGATAATACAACAGGTGGGTATATATGTCAGTCTACAGTAGGATAATACAACAGGTAGGTATATATGTCAGTCTACAGATAATACAACAGGTAGGTATATATGTCAGTCTACAGTAGGATAATACAGCAGGTTGGTATATATGTCAGTCTACATGATAATACAACAGGTAGGTATATATATCAGTCTACAGTAGGATAATACAACAGGTAGGTATATATGTCAGTCTACAGTAGGATAATACAACAGGTAGGTATATATGTCAGTCTACAGTAGGATAATACAACAGGTAGGTATATATGTCAGTCTACAGTAGGATAATACAACAGGTAGGTATATATGTCAGTCTACAGTAGGATAATACAACAGGTAGGTATATATGTCAGTCTACAGTAGGATAATACAACAGGTTAGGTATATATGTCAGTCTACAGTAGGATAATACAACAGGTAGGTATATATGTCAGTCTACAGTAGGATAATACAACAGGTAGGTATATATGTCAGTCTACAGTAGGATAATACAACAGGTAGGTATATATGTCAGTCTACAGTAGGATAATACAACAGGTGGGTATATATGTCAGTCTACAGGATAATACAACAGGTGGGTATATATGTCAGTCTACAGTAGGATAATACAGCAGGTGGGTATATATGTCAGTCTACAGTAGGATAATACAGCAGGTAGGTATATATGTCAGTCTACAGTAGGATAATACAACAGGTAGGTATATATGTCAGTCTACAGGATAATACAACAGGTAGGTATATATGTCAGTCTACAGTAGGATAATACAACAGGTAGGTATATATGTCAGTCTACAGTAATAATACAACAGGTGGGTATATATGTCAGTCTACAGTAGGATAATACAGCAGGTGGGTATATATGTCAGTCTACAGTAGGATAATACAACAGGTAGGTATATATGTCAGTCTACAGTAGGATAATACAACAGGTATGTATATATGTCAGTCTACAGAATAATACAACGGGTGGGTATATATGTCAGTCTACAGTAGGATAATACAGCAGGTAGGTATATATGTCAGTCTACAGTAGGATAATACAACAGGTGGGTATATATGTCAGTCTACATTAGGATAATACAACAGGTAGGTATATATGTAAGTCTACATGATAATACAACAGGTAGGTATATATGTCAGTCTACAGTAGGATAATACAACAGGTATATATATGTCAGTCTACAGTAGGATAATACAACAGGTAGGTATATATGTCAGTCTACAGTAGGATAATACAACAGGTAGGTATATATGTCAGTCTACAGTAGGATAATACAACAGGTAGGTATATATGTCAGTCTACAGTAGGATAATACAACAGGTAGGTATATATGTCAGTCTACAGTAGGATAATACAACAGGTAGGTATATATGTCAGTCTACAGTAGGATAATACAACAGGTAGGTATATATGTCAGTCTACAGTAGGATAATACAACAGGTAGGTATATATGTCAGTCTACAGTAGGATAATACAACAGGTAGGTATATATGTCAGTCTACAGTAGGATAATACAACAGGTAGGTATATATGTCAGTCTACAGTAGGATAATACAACAGGTAGGTATATATGTCAGTCTACAGAATAATACAACAGGTGGGTATATATGTCAGTCTACAGTAGGATAATACAGCAGGTGGGTATATATGTCAGTCTACAGTAGGATAATACAACAGGTGGGTATATATGTCAGTCTACAGTAGGATAATACAACAGGTAGGTATATATGTCAGTCTACAGTAGGATAATACAACAGGTAGGTATATATGTCAGTCTACAGTAGGATAATACAACAGGTAGGTATATATGTCAGTCTACAGTAGGATAATACAGCAGGTAGGTATATATGTCAGTCCTACAGTAGGATAATACAACAGGGTGGGTATATATGTCAGTCTACAGTAGGATAATACAGCAGGTAGGGATATATGTTAGTCTACATTATAATAATACAGCAGTTAGGTATATATGTCAGTCTACAGTAGGATAATACAGCAGGTGGGTATATATGTCAGTCTACAGTAGGATAATGCAGCAGGTATGTATATATGTCAGCCTACATTAGGATAATAGAGCAGGTAGGTATATATGTCAGTCTACAGGATAATACAACAGGTAGGTATATATGTCAGGCTATTGTAGGATAATACAACAGGTAGGTATATATGTCAGTCTACAAAATAATACAACGGGTGGGTATATATGTCAGTCTACAGTAGGATAATACAGCAGGTGGGTATATATGTCAGTCTACAGTAGGATAATACAACGGGTAGGTATATATGTCAGTCTACAGTAGGATAATACAACAGATATGTATATATGTCAGTCTACAGAATAATACAACGGGTGGGTATATATGTCAGTCTACAGTAGGATAATACAGCAGTTAGGTATATATGTCCGTCTACAGTAGGATAATACAGCAGTTAGGTATATATGTCAGTCTACAGTAGGATAATACAACAGGTGGGTATGTGTCAGTCTACATTAGGATAATACAACAGGTAGGTATATATGTCAGGCTATTGTAGGATAATACAACAGGTGGGTATATATGTCAATCTACAGTAGGATAATACAACAGGTAGGTATATATGTCAGTCTACAGTAGGATAATACAACAGGTAGGTATATATGTCAGTCTACAGTAGGATAATACAACAGGTTGGTATATATGTCAGTCTACATGATAATACAACAGGTAGGTATATATATCAGTCTACAGTAGGATAATACAACAGGTAGGTATATATGTCAGTCTACAGTAGGATAATACAACAGGTAGGTATATATGTCAGTCTACAGTAGGATAATACAACAGGTAGGTATATATGTCAGTCTACAGTAGGATAATACAACAGGTAGGTATATATGTCAGTCTACAGTAGGAGGATAATACAACAGGTAGGTATATATGTCAGTCTACATTAGGATAATACAACAGGTAGGTATATATGTCAGTCTACATTAGGATAATACAACAGGTAGGTATATGTCAGTCTACAGTAATAATACAACAGGTGGGTATATATGTCAGTCTACAGTAGGATAATACAGCAGTATATATATGTCAGTCTACATAATACAACGGGTGGGTATATATGTCAGTCTACAGGGATAATACAGGGTATATATGTCAGTCTACAGTAGGATAATACAACAGGTAGGTATATATGTCAGTCTACAGTAGGATAATACAACAGGTAGGTATATGTCAGTCTACAGTAGGATAATACAACAGGTAGGTATATATGTCAGTCTACAGTAGGATAATACAACAGGTAGGTATATATGTCAGTCTACAGTAGGATAATACAACAGGTAGGTATATATGTCAGTCTACAGAATAATACAACGGGTGGGTATATATGTCAGTCTACAGTAGGATAATACAGCAGGTGGGTATATATGTCAGTCTACAGTAGGATAATACAACAGGTGGGTATATGTCAGTCTACAGTAGGATAATACAACAGGTAGGTATATATGTCAGTCTACAGGATAATACAACAGGTAGGTATATATGTCAGGCTATTGTAGGATAATACAACAGGTAGGTATATATGTCAGTCTACATTAGGATAATACAGTCTACAGTAGGATAATACAGTGGGTATATATGTCAGTCTACAGTAGAGATAATACAACAGGTAGGGATATATGTCAGTCTACAGTAGGATAATACAACAGGTAGGTATATATGTCAGTCTACAGGATAATACAACAGGTAGGTATATATGTCAGGCTATTGTAGGATAATACAACAGGTAGGTATATATGTCAGTCTACAGAAATAATACAACAGGTGGGTATATATGTCAGTCTACAGTAGGATAATACAGCAGGTGGGTATATATGTCAGTCTACAGTAGGATAATACAACAGGTGGGTATATATGTCAGTCTACAGTAGGATAATACAACAGGTAGGTATATATGTCAGTCTACAGAATAATACAACAGGTGGGTATATATGTCAGTCTACAGTAGGATAATACAGCAGGGTATATATGTCAGTCAGTCTACAGTCAGTCTACATTAGGATAATACAACAGGTGGGTATATATGTCAGTCTACAGTAGGATAATACAACAGGTGGGTATATATGTCAGTCTACAGGAGGATAATACAACAGGTAGGTATATATGTCAGTCTACATTGTAGGATAATACAACAGGTAGGTATATATGTCAGTCTACAGTAGGATAATACAACAGGTGGGTATATATGTCAGTCTACATGAGTAATACAACAGGTATATATATGTCAGTCTACAGTAGGATAATACAACAGGTAGGTATATATGTCAGTCTACAGTAGGATAATACAACAGGTAGGTATATATGTCAGTCTACAGGATAATAATACAACAGGAAGGTATATATGTCAGTCTACAGTAGGATAATACAACAGGTAGGTATATATGTCAGTCTACAGTAGGATAATACAGCAGGTAGGTATATATGTCAGTCTACAGTAGGATAATACAACAGGTAGGTATATATGTCAGTCTACAGTAGATAATACAGCAGGTAGGTATATATGTCAGTCTACATTAGGATAATACAACAGGTAGGTATATATGTCAGTCTACAGTAGGATAATACAACAGGTAGGTATATATGTCAGTCTACAGTAGGATAATACAACAGGTGGGTATATATGTCAGTCTACAGTAGGATAATACAACAGGTAGGTATATATGTCAGTCTACAGTAGGATAATACAACAGGTAGGTATATATGTCAGTCTACATTAGGATAATACAACAGGTAGGTATATATGTCAGTCTACAGTAGGATAATACAACAGGTAGGTATATATGTCAGTCTACAGTAGGATAATACAACAGGTGGTATATATGTCAGTCTACAGTAGGATAATACAGCAGGTAGGTATATATGTCAGTCTACAGAATAATACAACAGGTGGGTATATATGTCCAGTCTACAGTAGGATAATACAACAGGTAGGTATATATGGTCAGTCTACAGTAGGATAATAATAGGTAGGTAGGTATATATGTCAGTCTACAGTAGGATAATACAACAGGTAGGTATATATGTCAGTCTACAGGATAATACAACAGGTAGGTATATATGTCAGTCTACAGTAGGATAATACAACAGGTAGGTATATATGTCAGTCTACAGTAGGATAATACAACAGGTAGGTATATATGTCAGTCTACAGTAGGATAATACAACAGGTATGTATATATGTCAGTCTACAGAATAGGATAATACAACAGGTGGGTATATATGTCAGTCTACAGTAGGATAATACAGCAGGTAGGTATATATGTCCTACAGTAGGATAATACAACAGTTAGGTATATATGTCAGTCTACAGAATAATACAACAGGTGGGTATGTGTCAGTCTACATTAGGATAATACAACAGGAAGGTATATATGTCAGGCTATTGTAGGATAATACAACAGGTAGGTATATATGTCAGTCTACATAGGATAATACAACAGGTAGGATATGTACAACAGGTTGGTATATATGTAACAGCAGTCTACATGATAATACAACAGGTAGGTATATATGTCAGTCTACAGTAGGATAATACAGCAGGTTGGTATATATGTCAGTCTACATGATAATACAACAGGTAGGTATATATATCAGTCTACAGTAGGATAATACAACAGGTAGGTATATATGTCAGTCTACAGTAGGATAATACAACAGGTAGGTATATATGTCAGTCTACAGTAGGATAATACAACAGGAAGGTATATATGTCAGTCTACAGTAGGATAATACAACAGGTTGGTATATATGTCAGTCTACAGTAGGATAATACAACAGGTAGGTATATATGTCAATCTACGGTAGGATAATACAACAGGTAGGTATATATGTCAGTCTACTGTTGGATAATACAACAGGTAGGTATATATGTCAGTCTACAGTAGGATAATACAACAGGTTGGTATATATGTCAGTCTACAGTAGGATAATACAACAGGTTGGTATATATGTCAGTCTACTGTTGGATAATACAACAGGTAGGTATATATGTCAGTCTACAGTAGGATAATACAACAGGTTGGTATATATGTCAGTCTACAGTAGGATAATACAACAGGTTGGTATATATGTCAGTCTACTGTTGGATAATACAACAGGTAGGTATATATGTCAATCTACGGTAATACAATACAGATAATAAGTGTGTCTAATGACATATACAAAGTTGTCTGTAATCGTATTCGAAAAATGTCATTACGTATAAGTTGTTAAATATATCATGAATTACATTACTCCCGAAGCCCATGTACATACATCATTCTGTGAGTACTGTTAATCAGTTTAGTTTTTGTTATTGTAACATTTCAGGAGTACAGCGACCATCTGTTCCGGTTCATCCTGTTCTACGTGTTCTATGGGCTAGTTCTGGGGTCGCTGCTCCTTCACTGTTTTGCTGACAATCGTAAACGACAGGAGGGCTACAATAAAAAGAAGGTTAGCTGGTTACCACCACAAAATGAATTCAGGATGGGTATACCTCCAACGTGAAGGTAAGCTTAATGCTGCCATCTGTTGAGGGAAAGCTTGATAATTCCATTTTGGGGTGTGGCACTGACAACCACATTGACCACATTGGGAAGGTAGCCTTGACATTCCCTTATGGGGAAGGGAGGGTAGATTCTACAATCTCGGAACTATGAGCCACAGGGGCGTGTCACGCTAAGAAACAGCGTTAGAAAGACATATAGGTATATAGACCCTACCCTCGTACTATATAAAAGGAAAGGGATGTAACGACGGAACCACCCCCTCCTCAATCAAAGTAAGATTTCACCACGTAAACTATTTTTAAGGCCCCGTCGAGGACTATGGAGCAAAAGCGAGATGATTTCCCTACAAAATAAGCTATAAATGGTCACAATCGGATCATTTTTTAAAAGTTATACGCCACGACTCACCGAAAACAGCTACCTCCGCAATTCCCAAGCCAAAATCATGGATCACCCAAGACAGCGAAAACTCACCTTTTAAATTCGTTTATTAATTCCAGCCACGTTGACAGCACATATGTAGGGCTAGATTCGATCGGCATCGGCATTCTTCGGGTCTAAAAACTTATTGCAATGTCTACAAATCATTTCCTCGACAGTAAGCAGGCACTTTCTCCAAAACCATCGGCAATCATACTCACTTGTCGGCCATAGATGGCCTTGACATTCAACTGATCTGAGCAGATCCGCAGAAACTAAATTGGGCCATCCGATTGGTGGAAAATATGATATACTTTAAGCTTTTGACTGTTTGCTAATGGGCGCGAAATATGAACTTTGCAATATTCCTTCTATTTTGGATGATGTACGAACCAGTAAATTGTTAAGAATAATTTTAGAGGTTGCAAAAATGTATTCGATATTGATTCATTTTAGGAAATTATATTTATAAATATTTAACCTCTAAAAATATTCGTACCAATTTACTGCTCAGTTCACTTAAATGTAGATTCTACAATCTGGGAACTATGAGCTGGGTGCCATCACGTTTCTTTGTACATCACAGGTTGCGTCTCCTGAGACGAGGGCATCCTTCCTGAGCAGACTGAGTTTCACATGGATCAACCCGTGAGTATTCGCATCAGGCACTGACTGAAATACCCGCCTTCATATACAATAACACATCAGTGTGATAAGCCTGACTCAGATCTATTCTCCACCCGAACGTACAGCCACGTATTACCCGTCACATCTGTACAGCAAGACACTGCAGCGTTTCATTCTTTAAGGTGAAAGTCTCTTGTGTGTGTGAACTGCTGATATTTGTAATTTGCTGTTACAGTAACAAAAGTAAATGTTTTACCATCAATAATTACTCTAATGAAACAGACAACAATGTCTGGAGTTTGAAGAGTCATTGTTTACACTGAGCGTCATGTTATGGCGTCATCATCATCATCAACCAATGTGATGAAAATGTCAGACACAAGTTGTCTGTAAGCCAACATTGTTCACAAGGAACAAATGGAACAGAAACCTATGTCCCGTGGTCCTTATTCCGACCTTGTACCTTCTCCGTTAGACACTGCTTTCCTCATTGTTACTGACTGGTGTCTACTCTGTTACAGACTGGTGTCTACTCTGTTTCAAACTGGTGTCTACTCTGTTACAGACTGGTGTCTACTCTGTTACAAACTGGTGTCTACTCTGTTACAGACTGGTGTCTACTCTGTTACAGACTGGTGTCTACTCTGTTTCAGACTGGTGTCTACTCTGTTTCAGACTGGTGTGGTTGTCTACTGTTTCAGACTGGTGTCTACTCTGTTTCAGACTGGTGTCTACTCTGTTACAGACTGGTGTCTACTCTGTTACAGACTGGTGTCTACTCTGTTACAGACTGGTGTCTACTCTGTTTCAGACTGGTGTCTACTCTGTTTCAGACTGGTGTCTACTCTGTTACAGACTGGTGTCTACTCTGTTTCAGACTGGTGTCTACTCTGTTACAGACTGGTGTCTACTCTGTTACAGACTGGTGTCTACTCTGTTACAGACTGGTGTCTACTCTGTTACAGGTGTCTACTGGTGTCTACTCTGTTACTGGTGTCTGTTGTTACAGACTGGTGTCTACTCTGTTACAGACTGGTGTCTACTCTGTTACAGACTGGTGTCTACTCTGTTTCAGACTGGTGTCTACAGACTGGTACAGACTGGACTGGTGTCTACTCTGTTTCAGACTGGTGTCTACTCTGTTACAGACTGGTGTCTACTCTGTTACAGACTGGTGTCTTCTCTGTTACAGACTGGTGTCTTCTCTGTTACAGACTGGTGTCTACTCTGTTACAGACTGGTGTCTACTCTGTTGCAGACTGGTGTCTACTCTGTTACAGACTGGTGTCTACTCTGTTACAGACTGGTGTCTACTCTGTTACTGACTGGTGTCTACTCTGTTACAGACTGGTGTCTACTCTGTTACAGACTGGTGTCTTCTCTGTTACAGACTGCTGTCTGCTCTGTTTCAAACTGCTGCCTTTTCTGTATTCAGGTTGCTGTTCAAAGGGTATCGCAAGTCGCTGGAGGTGGATGATCTATTTGATCTCCACCCGAGGGACAAAAGTGAGAAGGTTCTGCCCCACTTCTGGAAGGCGTGGATGGAAGAAGTGAGCTATACACAGAGAAAGAACCTGGAAAGGTGAACACAGTCCGAAATGATAACACCCTCTGATCCATCAGTCCGACATGATAACACCCTCTGATCCATCAGTCCGAAATGATAACGCCCTCTGATCCATCAGACCGGCATGATAACCACCTCTGATCCATCAGTCCGACATGATAACACCCTCTGATCCATCAGTCCGACATGATAACACCCTCTGATCCATCAGTCCGACATGATAACACCCTCTGATCCATCAGTCCGACATGATAACACCCTCTGATCCATCAGTCCGACATGATAACACCCTCTGATCCATCAGTCCGACATGATAACACCCTCTGATCCATCAGTCCGACATGACAACACCCTCTGATCCATCAGTCCGACATGATAACACCCTCTTATCCATCAGTCCGACATGATAACACCCTCTGATCCATCAGTCCGACATGATAACACCCTCTGATCCATCAGTCCGACATGACAACACCTTCTGATCCATCAGTCCGACATGACAACACCCTCTGATCCATCAGTCCGACATGACAACAATGAGGCAATATTACCCAAAGTGCACCTTTTACGAAACCTGTTTATATTCTACATTGACAGACTTTCCAATGACCCATAAAGTCACACGACACGGCCGTGCTGTACTTTAAAGAACTATTTGTAGGGGCTTAAGAAGCTAGGCCTTCAAATCAGTTGCAAAGTATAATTGTCCCCATGGAATGAAAACAATAATACCCTCTTGATATTCTGGATATCATGACCAAAATATATTATCAGAGCAATTTTTAATGTATCTCTCCGCACGATTTAAATATGTCTTGAAGCACTGGCAGATAGAATATCCTGTATCAAGCACGAGAACATTGAATAGTCGGTTTCGAATATTGCAACAGTGTTCATTAATGACCACGTCCCAGTCCCCCATCTCGTCTCTCAATTACAGTGAGAGAATTTAGTTTTATGCCGCTTTTAGCAACATTCCAGAAATGTCACGGCAGGGGACACCAGAAATGGGATTCATACATTGTACTCATGTGGGGTATCGAACCCGGGTCTTTGATGTGACGAGCGAACGCTTTAATCATTAGACTAACTCACTGCCTCCTCTCATATACAGATCAGAGAAAACCACGTCAGCTATAACTCCCAGCATGGTGCAGTATGTCCCCACGGAGAACGGTGGCGTCTACTTCAAGAACAGTGGCATGAATACAACCCATCAGGAACAACCGTCCTTTTTCAAAGTCTTGTTGAAGACGTATGGGCCAACCCTCGCTCTTTCCCATGTGTTGAAACTAGTATTTGACCTGCTGTCATTTGTCAATCCAATGCTTACAGAGTAAGTTTGCCAGATATTACATTTCTTTCGTTGCTGCTATATAATTTGATGTCTGGCGTCCATGTTTGATACTACACATTGTGTTTGTGGAGTGTGTCTATTTGCACCAGCTCAATCTGGAAGTGAATTCCGAAATCTCTAGTTTAACCACCATAGTAAAACACAAGAACCATGACCATGACAAGTGGATTCGAAGAGACGAACATAGGTTCTTGTGTGCCGTAGAAACAACTCTAAATACAACAGAATACTAAAGTAGCATTGTGCTCCCTGTGTTTCAGTGCCTTGATTGCCTTCATCGACAACCGAGCCAACGAGCAGGAGTGGAAGGGCTACGTGTACGCCTGCTCCTTCTTCCTGGTGGCTGTCATTCAGTCCTGTTTCAATCACCAGCACTTCCACATCAGCCTGAACCTAGGGATGAGGATCAAGTCCGCCGTCATATCAACTGTCTACAAGAAGGTCAGTATGTCATATCAGCTGTCTTCAAGAAGGTCAGTATGTCATATCAAGTGTCTACAAGAAGGTCAGTATGTCATATCAGCTGTCTACAAGAAGGTCAGTATGTCATATCAGGTCTCTACAAGAAGGTCAGTATGTCATATCAGCTGTCTACAAGAAGGTCAGTATGTCATATCAAGCTGTCTACAAGAAGGTCAGTATGTCACATCAGCTGTCTACAAGAAGGTCAGTATGTCATATCAGCTGTCTACAAGAAGGTCAGTATGTCATATCAGCTGTCTACAAGAAGGTCAGTATGTCATATCAGCTGTCTACAAGAAGGTCAGTATGTCATATCAGCTGTCTACAAGAAGGTCAGTATGTCATATCAACTGTCTACAAGAAGGTCAGTATGTCACACCAGCTGTCTACAAGAAGGTCAGTATGTCATATCAGCTGTCTACAAAAAGGTCAGTATGTCATATCAGCTGTCTTCAAGAAGGTCAGTATGTCATATCAAGTGTCTACAAGAAGGTCAGTATGTCATATCAGGTGTCTACAAGAAGGTCAGTATGTCATATATGCTGTCTTCAAGAAGGTCAGTATGTCATATCAAGTGTCTACAAGAAGGTCAGTATGTCATATCAGCTGTCTACAAGAAGGTCAGTATGTCATATCAGCTGTCTACAAGAAGGTCAGTATGTCATATCAGCTGTCTACAAGAAGGTCAGTATGTCATATCAAGTGTCTACAAGAAGGTCAGTATGTCATATCAGCTGTGTACAAGAAGGTCAGTATGTCATACAGCTGTCTACAAGAAGGTCAGTATGTCATATCAGCTGTCTACAAGAAGGTCAGTATGTAATATCAGCTGTCTATAAGAAGGTCAGTATGTCATATCAGCTGTCTTCAAGACGGTCAGTATGTCAAAACCAGCTGTCTACAAGAAGGTCAGTATGTCAGATGAGCTGTCTATATAGATGAAGCATTTGGAATCCATCAGTTTGAAAGTTTGGGCAATTAATGAAATAGGTTATTTTATCATTGATAGATTTTGTTCATTCAGAAACACATACTTTTTTCCTTAATAGGAAAGTCCTGTTAGGCAGCGGGTGGTTTTCTGGGTTTGAACTCCACGAACTGGGTCTGGTGTTTGGGTAATAAAAGCTGTAGACAATCTACTACCACTAAAGGTGATCCAAAGATGATATTTTGAGGTGTTCATGTTTTCCCCTACTTTCCGGCAACTAGGGCACCTGCAAAACACTGCATTCCTAGTCTCGTTCCTGGCCACTATCGACCAGTGTGTGAACGAATTGGTGAGGTAGGTAATCTGTTGCCTAGACGGTGGCCAACCTGTACTGTCGCTGAATACACAGGTCATGTCGTTATTTAGTTTTTATATGATCGCGTTGTCAGTGGCATTCCATACGCGCATATGTGCACCTTGACCCTCCTCAGGGAATTGTATACCAATATCTTATTATCTATATAAAGTCATTCATGTTGTTACAGTTTGCCATACAATAGCTGAGAAGGTGAGTTAGCCCACTGATTAATGTTGACCTTCCAGGCCATATGTCGTTGTGAGATTCCCAGCCATGTCCATTCTTGGCATTCCCGTGATATTGCATCCGTTGTTTCCTCAATGGCGGTAGTGTGTGGGTCCAGGTTGTTCGGGAAGGTGTGGGAGGGCCTCAGAATGAGATTGAAACAAAACATCATGGACGAAATTGACACCCCCATGTGACGAGTTGTAACTGATGTTCCTTCATCGTCAACAGGCTCTGACTATCAGCAGCGATGCCCGGAAGGAATCCACGGTGGGGGAGATCGTCAACCTGATGTCCGTGGACTGCCAGCGTCTCCAGGACGTCACTGGCTTCTTGCATGTCGTCTGGTCGTCACCGCTCATAATCGGCATTGCCTTGTACATGTTATGGGGCATTCTAGGGATCTCGGTAGTGGCAGGACTTGGGGTGATGTTACTGCTCTTCCCGATCAATGGCATCTTGTCCAGTAAGCTGCGGAAGTTCCAGCTCCAGCAGATGAAGTTGAAGGATGCCAGGATTAGACTGATGAGTGAAGTCCTCAACGGCATCAAGGTCGGTGATGTATTACTGGAACTTTGGGTGTATTTCATTTATAGTTTAGAATGAAAGTTCGTGTGGTCACGAAAGGTTACTTCTTGATGGGTTAGTATTTCAATAAACATTTGTTTGTAAACCGTATGCATGTATTTATAACATGATTTGAAAACAAACCTAAGACAAGTGATAGCAATCTTATGACATTAGTAGTATGTGACATTAACACTGGTGTATATTCGTCTCACACCGATCCGTCATGGGTACAACTCTGAGATTATTTCTGATGACCTCCGCCGCGATATTCTGAAATATTGCTTAAAGCTGTGAAAAGCCATACTCACTCTTACACTGCGTCCCTTCCAGGGGGGAAAAATATCAGCGCCTTGAGCATGCACTAGTTGCCTGGATATGTGCGCTATATAAATATCCTATAATAATAATGTATTTAGTTTAGTAACAGTATCCTCCTCGGGGTGGGGGTGGGGGTGGGGGTGGGGGATTGGTGGTGTGTGTGTGTGTGTATGTATTGGATTCTCGGTGTCGAATTTTGAGAGATCTGCATGGGTGGCCAATATCACGGAGTTTTGTTTTACGCCGCTTTTAGCAATTTCCCAGCAATATCACGGCGGGGGACACCAGACATGAGCTTCACGTATTTTACCCATGTGGGGAATCGAACCCGGGCATTAGTACGAAAGGGTTACTTCTTGATGGGTTAATATTTCAATAAATAAACATGTATTGGTAAACAGTATGCATGTATTTGTTGCATGACTTGAAAACAAACCTATGACAGGTGATAGCAATCTTATGACAACAGTAGTATGTCACATTAAGTAACACTGGTGTATTTTCGTCTCACACCGATCCGTCATGGGTAAAAAGTCTGAGATTATTTCTGATGACCTCCACCGCGATATTTCTGAAATATTGCTTGAAGCTGTGGAAAGCTACACTCACTCTTACGCTGCGTTCCTCCCAGGGACCATGTATTTAGTTTAGTATCAGTATGCTGGGGAATGTTCTTGCAATACTTCCAGCTGATATTGAAGGTCAAGGGCATACACAAAAGCATAAGACCGATGGTAGCTCACGCAGTGTTTACATGAAGATGATATATCCCTCTCAGGGTGGATATATTAAATCCTCAGTGTCAAATTTTGAGAGACAGTTCAACCTTTTGTTTACTGAAGATGCCCCTTTGTTGTTTAGATGGATACTAGAGTGAGGTGTGTTAGTACTTGGTAGTAGCTGAAGCTGAGCACATCATCCCTTGTGTAGACAGCCGTTATAATCGAGACATGTTTGCCAGGTCCTGAAGCTGTACGCCTGGGAGCTGTCCTTCCAGGAGAAGGTGCTCGTCATCCGACGCCAGGAACTGGCCTTGCTCAAGAAAATCGCCTACTACAACGCTGTCATGTCTTTCTTCTGGAGATCTGCCCCATACCTGGCAAGTTGTCAAACTGTACCACCCATCAAGAATGTGCAACATCTTCGGTTTTCTTGAGATGCCAAATAATAATTTGAACTAACACATCCGTATGTTTCATTGTCTCTCACTCAAGATGTTATCTTTTATGTCGAATATTGGCCATCTGCTTGTTTTTTTAAAAAGCTTGGTCCCGAACCACAAAGTGTTCGTAACTCTACGACCTGTCGTAACTCTATGGTTCACCATAGGCTTACGGATGTCGTAGTACTACGAACGCTTTGTGGATCGAAGCCCTGTTTCTGAAGTCAGTAGAAACATTCCTTTCTATTTGACTGAGCTACCCTTCATAAACAGTTGTTGTTGCAGGTGACCCTGGCGACATTTTCTGCCTACATCTTGTCCTCCGCTGACAACGTCCTGGACGCACAGAAAGCCTTTGTGTCGCTGTCCCTCTTCAACCTTCTCCGTATGCCCATGATCACACTGCCTATGATAGTCCCATTGTTGATACAGGTAGAACTACCATTTCCATTATGTGTGATGCCTTCCACGTGGCAGGACACGCCCCCCTTTTCGCCATCACCTGTTGTCATCAGTATCTGATAGTGATTCATAAACACATGCCTATGGTGGATTAGAATCCTACAGGGGGCGGTGGGATAGCCTAGTAGCTAAAGCGTACGCTCAGCTTGCCGAGGACACCGGGTTCGATTATCCACATGGGTACAATGTATGAAACCCATTTCTGGTTTCTCTCGCTGTGATATTGCTTGAATATCACTCACTCACTAGAGTGATACAGCAGAGTTCCTTTGGCGATAGGAATTGCTCTGTCCTTACTAAAAATATACACGTAAATCGTCCATGACATTGTTATGCCTAGTAACTTTCAAATAGACCATAACATGAATATAGTCATGAAAATAAATGAATTTCAAGTGATTCGCAAGTGATTGACTACAAACACAAAAGGCATTCTTAATTAAATAATGGGTGGATCTTTGGTTATATTTCGTTGTTTACATTGGATGTTTTGCATAGTTATAATTGAGTTTATTGGACATTATTGTTTATGAAGCATAGAGACCCATACGCACACTTTTCTACGTGGATTTACCTAAAATAATCAAAACGAGACTTACGACGAAGGTATCATCAAAATGTCAGTAAGAGGTGTGGACAATCTGGTAAAAAAAAATATTTAAAACGAGTTGATATAAGTGTGTTGAAGTCGAAATGTCAGGAAAGACATGTTGATCTCCATTTTCCCCAGTAGAGCAGGTTAATGAACAGCCTGTTTTCACACCCGGTGAACTGGGGCAGGTATCACGCTTATAAACAGTATTTCTGGTACATCACGGTGTGCTAGTGTAACAGTATGAACAGTGGTTAAACACCCACCCAAAGAAACAAAGGATGTTGCCAAATGTCTGTGAGTCATACTGAGTAAAAGGGTATGGTTCCATTCCAGCAAACACACTGTTGTTGAACAACTGTAACAGCGTGAATAGTTTGTGTCATCTTCAGAATAGGGTTTGAAAATGCGTGGACGTGCTTGCACATACATGGACAGCAAGCGGGATGGTTACCGTGTCAGATGTATTTGGTATTTGAAAGCATGCGCCCAAATGCCAATAGGCTATTCTACCTCATGCGTCGAAAGCCAGGTGTCACGATCCTGTATAATGAATGTGTGACAGGTCAGTGTTATACCCATAATGACATAGTGGACCGGAAGTACACTCGAAATATCAGTGACTAAAAAATAGACACACACACGCTCGCTAACAAACACACGCTCGCGCGCGTACGCACGCACACACGAGTCATCTTCTAGGACACACGTGAAGATCCGGGTTAGAATTGTCAGTCTTGGTTCGTGCATGTTATCGTATCCAAGTTGCGTAGATCGATGCTCATGATGTCAATCACTCGATTGTCTTGTCCAGATTCGATTATTTACGGAATGGAATATTACTACTGAGACGGCGGCGTTAAACAACAAACAAACAGAACGATTCTTCTTGGAAAAGGAAGGGGAGACTGGTGCCTATCTTTAGCATTTGTCAATGCAATAATCATGTCGGTATCACGCAGTCTAAGTAAACTTAGGCTCGGTATTATTCGTTACACTGCTATACTGAGTCTCACAAAACCTAGTAGAACTGGACTGACCAATCAGAACACATGCAGCTTACCAACATTCGCACATACCGTTTGAACCTTTACCTCGAAAACACGAACAATTCCGAATGCTATTTTCCGCACGATCGCTTCCGAGTGATACACGCAGTGAGTTAACAGTCGCTGAAAATAGCGTTTTTGTCAATATTTACTGATGTCATCTTGCAAAAATATAAGCAAATAGTAACCATGTGATTACAAACCCATAAGCATATATACTGCAGGTCAAATATCTGCGTTTTATGCGGATTTTCGTTTGTTGATAGATCAGTGTCAGCGGCCAGGGAAGAGAAAATCCAAAACACGTTTTGTAAGTCCCGCCGAACCCTAACAAGTAATCGTTGTCTGATTGGTTAAATCCTTTTCGGACGTCTCGCGTTTGATTGGACGGTCATAGGTCGCTCAACGGTTAGCTGACGCGACCTTGTACTAGGGTTTGTTAGACTCAGTATTGCAGTGTAACGAATAATACTGAGCCTAAGTTTACTTAGACTGGATATCAAGATAAATTTGTAGATAAGGTTTCCTGGGAACTACGTACAAACATCATAGAGCAGTACACTATACATTGTGCTTAGATACGTGTTTCCAACAGTGTTGCCTAAACGTGGGACAAATATACTCGTAGTCACTGTACTATAATAGGGCGGTTCACTCAAACAATGTATTCATACGAGGTTTCTAAAGTTATTTCATTCAGTGAAGTTACGTCTTAAACTTCCGTGCTTTAGAATGACAATACCTGACAGAGAAATTATAAGCCCGTGTGTCTTTGCATAGCATATATGATGTATAAAGAATATAACAAGTATATCATACTTGCCAATATCGATATATTAAATGTGGTATTTGGTATAATAATCTACATTCAGCATAATAGAAGCGAGGCCTCATGAGGGTGAATATTTTTTAATAGTTATATGAAATCATCATCATCATAATCTTCATTTTCGCCACCATCATCTTCACACTCATCGTTTTAAGACCTGCATCATTTCGGGATGTCCTCTCACGCCATGCTCATACGCCCAGAGGGGCGGTGGGGTACCCTAGTGGTTAATGCGTTAGCTCGTCACGCCGAAAACCCGGGTTCGATTCCCAACATGGGCACAATGTGTGAAATCCATTTCTGGTGTCCCACTCCGTGATATTGCTGGAATATTGCTGAAAGCGGGGTAAACCTCACTCACTCACTCACTCACTCATACGCACAGGGTTACTGACATACGTTCAGCCCAACCATTCTTGCTTAACCTGCACCTTTACCACATTCCCTCCACAGGGCTGGGTGTCCGTCACCCGTGTGTCCAAGTTTCTCCGGACCAAGGATCTGGATGACTCCAACGTCCAGCAGGATCCACACAGTGGTCGGTTCCGATTAACAAAAATATTTTTGTCAGAGGTAGCATGTGTGCGGATTGGTGACCGGGACTCGTTAATTGATGAAGTACACTTAGAACTCAACACATCGTTTAAGATGATGTAACTGGATGCTTAATTGGTTATTGCAAGGGAGTATTGACACGAAAGCACTGAAAACTATCCATCTGCAGATCCCTGATGCCATAGTACAGCTACATCCTGTGATAGAAACCTCACGAAAGTTGAAAGCCCATCAGAAAGTATCTCTATAACGACGTGAGAGTAGAATGTCCCCCAGAAAGTAGGTCTAAAACGTTGTAAACATAGAAAGTCCTCAGACAGTAGCTCTTAAACGTCACGAAAGTAAAAAGTTCCTCAGAAAGTCGCTCTAAAATGTCGCAAAAGTAGAAAATCCCTCAGAAAGTAGCTCTAAAATGTCTCGAAAATTGAAAGTCCCTCAGAAAGTAACTCAAAAACGTCACAAAAGAAGAGAGACCATCAGAAAGTAGCTCTAAAACGTGGCGAACGTAGAAAGTCCCTCAGAAAGTAGCTCTAAAAAATCGCAAAGGTAGAAAGTTTCTCAGAAAGTAGCTCTAAAATGTCGCAACAAGGAATAAAAGAAATTGTTTTCCATACAAAGTGTATTTTATTCATGATTAATTCGGATGTTGTCTGTGTTTCAGACGCGGCTATAAAGATTGAGCGTGGGAATTTCACTTGGGACAAGGAGCTGCCCAAACCTACACTGAGGAAGTGAGTCAGGCTTTGACAGTATAAGCAACAGGACGCTAATTCAATTTAGTGTTTAACCTTAGATCTCACTTGCCGTGTTCTAACAAAGATGAAGAGTGAGTGAGTGAGTTTAGTTTTACGCCACACTCAGCAATATTCGTGCTATATGGCGGCAGTTTGTAAATAATCGAGTCTGGACAGTCCAGTGACAGTCTCAACAGCATAAGCATCGATCTGCGCAATTGGGAACCGATGACATGTGTCCACCAAGTAGAATACAAAGAACCCGCTAAAAAGGCCCTTAAGTTACTTTACAACCTGTCAGTCTATGTAATTCGAATACGTTTACCACCCTGATGAGGCAAAGGGGCATCATTAGTGAGAGTCTGATTTTCGCTGTCATCAACGGATCTTGTCCGGGACACATGTGAACAGCGAGTTGGTAGAGCACAGCACATTAGTACCAGTTTATAACCTACTGACGTGTGTTTCTGACTTCCCCAGAATTGACCTGAAGATCCCTGAGGGTAAGCTGGTGGCAGTGGTGGGCCAGGTGGGGGCGGGGAAGTCCTCCCTCATCTCCGCAATGCTGGGGGAGATGGAGAAACTCGCCGGCAGCGTCACAGTCAAGGTAAACACCACAACCCTTCAAGATACACTTTTCTAGCATCGCCCTTCGTACACACAGCAGGAGCATCCGTACACAGCAGCACCCTCCGTACACACACACAACAACATCCTGAGCAGCACCCTCCGCACACACAGCAACATCCCCAGTAACACCCTCCAACACACACAGCAAACATCTCCAGCAACACCCTCCGTATACACACAGCATCATCCCCAGTAACACCCTCCGTACACACAGCAACATCCCCATCTCCAACAACACCATCCGTACACACAGCAACATCCCCAGCAACACCCTCCGTACACACAGCAACATCCCCAGCAACACCCTCCTTACACACAGCAACATCCCCAACAACACCCTCCCAACAAACAGCAACATCCCCAATAACACCCTCCCCAACCCCATTCCGTACACACAGCAACATCCTGAGCAATACCCTCCGTACACTCAGCAACATCCCCAGCAACACCCTCCCAACACACAGCAACATCCCCAGCGACACCCTCCCAACCCAGCACACAGCAACATCCTGAGTAGCACCCTCACACACAAACAGCAACACCCTCCGTACACTCACACAGCAACATCCCCAGCAGCACCTCCCAACACACAGCAACATCCCCAACAGCACCCTCCCTACACACACACACAGCAACATCCCCAGCAACACCCTCCCAACACACAGTAACATCCTGGGCAGCACCCTCCCAACACACACATCCCCAGCAACATCCCAAGCAACACCCTCCCAACACACAGCAACATCCTCCCAACAATTACATTAGTAGAGCAGTTTGAAAGCAATTATTTCCTTTGAAATCCAACTTTCAGAGCTCCGTTGCATACGTGCCCCAGGAGGCATGGATCCAGAATGCCACTCTGAGAGCCAACATCACATTTGGGCAGGTTGACAGTGAGAAGAAGTACAAGCAGGTTATTGAAGCCTGTGCCTTGACCTCTGACCTGGAGATATTACCTGGGAAAGATATGACAGAAATAGGGGAGAAAGTAGGTTGAAGTTGAAAGTTTACTCTCCATACAAAATGTGATTGTTAACTAGTCTGTGTCTGAACTTGTACAAGAGTAGAGGTGGTATTGCTGATGATCTAGTAAAGCAAAAGTTTACAATGATTGGTCAGTCAGCGGTATCAAATCACAATTAAAACCTATAAAAAGGACGTGTTTCCGCGAAAATTGATGTTTACTCAAACGAACATTTTATATCGAATAGGAGCGGTGTCAGTAATGATAATGGCTTTTGTGGGTTGAAATACATTCTCCTGGTTGCCATTATATGTTTGCCCATGGAGTCCAGGTATTATATTTAGGGTTGATAAAAATAAGATATCCTTTCTTCTCATTCAACCAAGCTCATGTTGAATTATTTCCTTGCCAGGGCATCAACCTCATTGATAATATATTTCTACATCAGCTTGCATGCAGAATGGTATCTTCTCGTTCATTTTAAAATATTTCCTTGCCAGGGCATCAACCTCAGTGGGGGACAGAAGCAGCGTGTGTCTCTGGCTCGGGCCGTCTACAGTGACGCTGACATCTACCTCCTGGACGACCCGCTGAGCGCCGTAGACTCACACGTCGGGAAGCACATCTTCCAGGAAGTGGTCGGCCAGAAAGGCATTCTCAGACACAAGGTGAGATCTTGACAGTAATGGGTGGCCAGTGGTATCTTTGAGATCTCCTTGGTGTTCAGAATTTTGTAGAACTGATATTTCCGTAAAGCAAAAGAATATAGTCTAAATATCAAACATTTCAGTGTTATCTGTGAATACAGTAATGCATACAGTATATACTTAATGATAAACAGAAATGCCTAAAATACCTGTTCATTTGCTTTGGTCTCCAAAATTCCCAATGGTGCTCCTCTAGTATCTGACTGAAGGTAAGCGAGTTTGTTGTGTAGTGTTTACTGGCGCCGTTGTTATGTCTCTACGTGCTCTGTTCTTGCAGACTCGCCTGTTGGTGACCCATGGCGTCCACTGGCTGCCGATGACAGACATGATCGTGGTGCTGGTGGACGGTGAGATCACGGAGATGGGGACATACGACGAGCTCCTGAGTCACGACGGAGCCTTCGCCCAGTTCCTGAAGACCTACCTCACACAGGAGGACGACACCGAGCAGGAAGACGACCCTGAGAGTCAGTCATACGAAGTGTCTAGCAGAAAATACATGATCACCAATTGCAATGTTACTATATTTAATAGCATAATTTCAATAGAATATTGCAGAGTATGTTACAGAATGAAAATTTAGTTTCTTGAAGTTCCTCTCGTTCAGTTGATTTACGGTATTTCGAGAGTCATTCTTGCTTCGGTAAACACCGTGTTCTTCTTCAAGCGGCATTTAGAGTGAGTGAGTGAGTGAATTTAGTTTTACGCCGCTTTTAGCAATATTCCAGCAATATCACGGCGGGGGACACCAGAAATGGGCTTCACAAAGTGGCATTTAGAAGCTGGTATGACGAAGAACAATTTGTATGGATAAAGAATTTCTTCATTGCAATAGAAGCGACGTTTCGGTTCAGATGCTTACGTGGTTAATAGGCAAGGGATACTTCACATTGGACACTAGGGTATATACATGAAAGGTATGTGAGTTTATACTGTTGAAGGGGTTAATGATCAGTGTGATGACATTACTCATAGTTGTTATGATTACAGATACTGGCTATGAAGCCAGATGGACAAAGGGTAGGGAAGGGTTATTCTTGACTGGCCTTGGTGGTAAGCTATAGGTATGTAATAACCTTGATCTCTAACCGGTCAAACTACAAGAAAACTCTTAGCGGCATGAAGGTTATTCATTATAGGGAAACGTCACATCCATTGCAATACGAATTTGTGTATCCATAAAAATGGTTCCTGTTAACCCCCATGCTGTTGCAGTTCAAGAAATGAAGTCGAAGATCCTTCAGAGGCTGGAATCTGTTACGGACGGATCGATGTCAGGAGATGATATCCAAAGGTGACACAGCATTTCTAGAAAACAAAGCGCCAAAACCCTTTTCATGCCTATTAAGAAATCTCTGCTGAAAGATTGTAAGGCGCAGGCTTTATAATAATAATGATATATGTTGTTGTTTTTTCTCAGAGTAACAATTAACTTGCCTTCTCATGTACTGATGAGCCCCTGGTACATGACATGTATATACCTTTCAAAGAATACCGGGTATTCATAAATTGCCTTTCAAATGATACCGGATATTCATAAATTGACTTTCAAAGAATACCGGATATTCATAAATTGACTTTCAAATGATACCGGGTATTCATAAATTGCCTTTCAAAGAAAACTAGGCATTCATAAATTGCCTTTCAAAGAAAACTAGGCATTCATAAATTGCCTTTCAAAGAATACTGGGTATTTATAAATACATGAGAAGGCAAGTTAACAAAACAAGCGATATGGTACAGGGCAAAAGAGGCTACACTGGACAGCTATTTGTGCTTTTATTCGTCACATTTGGAAGTTAATCCACACAACAACCGTAAAACGTTGATTTTTGTTGAAGCCTTGAATGTTGTAGCCATGATCATACAACCCTTACGGATAGTCATACAACCCTTACGTATAGTCATACAACCCTTACGGATAGTCATACAACCCTCTCGGATAGTCATACAACCCCTTACGGATAGTCATACAACCCTTACGGATAGTCATACAACCCCTTACGGATAGTCATACAACCCCTTACGGATAGTCATACAACCCTTACGGATAGTCATACAACCCCTTACGGATAGTCATACAACCCTTACGGATAGTCATACAACCCTTACGGATAGTCATACAACCCTTACGGATAGTCAAGCGACCCTTACGGATAGTCATACAACCCTTACGGATAGTCAAGCGACCCTTACGGATAGTCATGCGACCCTTACGGATAGTCATGCGACCCTTACGGATAGTCATACACCATACGATAGCTCTTGTAACGCAGTCACGTCATGTCAACCAGCTTAGAAACTGTTGTTGGCAAATATCTTTTTGAGGAATGATGAAGAATCAATCAAATGTAAGAAAAGGCTATGTGTACGTTTTCTATAATAACACTTATTGGTCTCAGCGCTTTAACCTATCTCTTTTCCTCTTTACCAGCAAACGCAAGTTGAACCGGGAGATATCATTTGTGGATGACTCCAGCAAGAAGTTGGCGGTGCCGGACAAGGCAGGAGGCAAGCTCATCCAGGAGGAGAAGGCACAGAGAGGCAGGGTCAGTGTGACTGAACACATTGTCAGGGCTTTCTGGTGGAACACATTGTCAGTTCTGTCAGGGCTTTCTGGTGGAACACATTGTCAGGGCTTTGTGGTGGAACACATTGTCATTTCTGTCAGGGCTTTCTTGTGGAACACATTGTCAGTTCTGTCAGGGCTTTCTGGTGGAACACATTGTCAGGGCTTTCTGGTGATACACATCGTTAGGGCTTTCTGGTGGAACACATTGTCAGGGCTTTCTGGTGGAACACATTGTCATTTCTGTCAGGGCTTTCTTGTGGAACACATTGTCAGTTCTGTCAGGGCTTTCTGGTGGAACACATTGTCAGGGCTTTCTAGTGATACACATTGTTAGGGCTTTCTGGTGGAACACATTGTCAGGGCTTTCTTGAACACATTGACAGGGCTTTCTGGTGGAACTCTTTTTCTGGCAGAACACATTGTTAGGGCTTTCTTGAACATTGTCGGGGCTTTCTTGAACACATTGTTAGGGCTTTCTTGAACACATTGTCAGGGCTTTCTGCTTGAACACGTTGTCAGGGCTTTCTGGAACACATCGTCTGGGCTCTCTAGAACATATGTTGGGCTTTCTGGGCACATATTCAGGGCTTTCTGCTTGAACACGTTGTCAGGGCTTTTTGCCCGAACACATTGTAAGGGTTTTCTTGTGGAACACATTGTGAGGGCTTGCTGAAACACATTGTCAGGGCCTTCTGGTGGAACACATTGTCAGGACTTTCAGCTTGAACACGTTGTCAGGGCTTTGTGGCCGAACATGTGTAAGGGCTTTTTGGCAGAACACATTCTCAGGGTTTTCAGGTAGAACACACTGACAGAGCTTTTTTGGTGGAACACATTGTCAGGACGTTTTCTGGTTTAACACCTTAAGTTTGTGGGAGATGACTATGTCATCACAGCGGAAAATAACCTTGCTATATAGCTGACATGTATTTCAGCCAAACATCTTAATGTGTGCTTAACGCATGTTCCAGCCATACCTTGATGTAGAAGTGACATATATTATAGCCACATCACTTCAATGTCTGGCGCAATCATGTTTTGTCATATCGCTTCAATGTATACTTGACATTCAGTGTATACTTGACAATTCACTTTCATCATGACCTTACTTTCTGCTGCAGGTGAAGTTCTCCGTCTTTGGGGACTACGCCAAAGCCATCGGTGTCTGCAGCACATTCTTCATCTTCTTCACATTTGCCATGTACCAGGCGGCCACCATGGCGTCCAACATCTGGATCAGTGTGTGGACAGACGACGGTCTCCTGAAGAACATGAGTTTGGTCAACACTTCGGACTATCAGAACAAAAACACCATGTATCTTGGTGTCTTCGGGGGTTTCGGTTGTGTGCAGGGTAGGTTTAATAGTTTAAAAGTCGACGAGACGGGAACTGTATGAAGAAGGAATTTGTCTCAAGGAATTTGGATTCACGTAGAACAAAGAACAAAACCTTTTCCATTGCCGCAAGATATCTCTGATATAACAAGAGTGGATTCTACCTCCCATGACATAACAAGAGTCTATTCTACCTCCCTGATATAACAAGAGTGGATTCTACCTCTCTGATATAACAAGAGTGGATTCTACCTCCCTGATAAAACAAGAATCGACACTACTTCCCCGATATAACAAGAGTGCATTCTACCTCCCTGATAAAACAAGAGTGGATTCTACCTCCCTGATATAACAAGAGTCTATTCTACCTCCCTGATATAACAAGAGTGCATTCTACCTCCCCTGATAAAACAAGAGTCTATTCTACCTCCCCTGATATAACATGAGTCGATTCTACCTCCCCTGATATAACAAGAGTGCATTCTACCTCCCTGATAAAACAAGAGTGCATTCTACCTCCCCTGATAAAACAAGAGTCTATTCTACCTCCTGATATAACAAGAGTCTATTCTACCTCCCCTGATATAACAAGAGTGCATTCTACCTCCCCTGATAAAACAAGAGTCTATTCTACCTCCCCTGATATAACAAGAGTGGATTCTACCTCCCCTGATATAACAAGAGTGGATTCTACCTCCCCTGATACAACAAGTGTCTATTCTACCTCCCCTGATATAACAAGAGTGGATTCTACCTCCCTGATATAACAAGAGTGGATTCTACCTCCCCTGATACAACAAGTGTCTATTCTACCTCCCTGATATAACAAGAGTCTATTCTACCTCCCTGATATAACAAGAGTGCATTCTACCTCCCTGATAAAACAAGAGTCTATTCTACCTCCCTGATATAACAAGAGTGGATTCTACCTCCCCTGATATAACAAGAGTGGATTCTACCTCCCCTGATACAACAAGTGTCTATTCTACCTCCTGATATAACAAGAGTCTATTCTACCTCCCCTCATATAACAAGAGTGCATTCTACCTCCCTGATAAAACAAGAGTCTATTTTACCTCCCTGATATAACAAGAGTGGATTCTACCTCTCCTGATATAACAAGAGTGGATTCTACCTCCCCTCATATAACAAGAGTCTATTCTACCTCTCCTGATATAACAAGAGTGGATTCTACCTCCCCTGATATAACAAGAGTGGATTCTACCTCTCCTGATATAACAAGAGTCTATTTTACCTCCCCTGATATAACAAGAGTGGATTCTACCTCCCTGATATAACAAGAGTGGATTCTACCTCCCCTGATATAACAAGAGTCTATTCTACCTCCCCCTGATATAACAAGAGTGGATTCTACCTCCCCTGATACAACAAGAGTGGATTCTACCTCCCTGATATAACAAGAGTGGATTCTACCTCCCCTGATACAACAAGAGTGGATTCTACCTCCCCTGATACAACAAGAGTGGATTCTACCTCCCCTCATATAACAAGAGTCTATTCTACCTCCTGGTATAACAAGAGTCGATTCTACCTCCCCTGATATAACAAGAGTCTATTCTACCTCCTGATATAACAAGAGTCTATTCTACCTCCCTGATATAACAAGAGTCTATTCTACTTCCCCTGATATAACAAGAGTGGATTCTACCTCCCCTGATATAACAAGAGTCTATTCTACCTCCTGATATAACAAGGTGGATTCTACCTCCCCTGATATAACAAGAGTGGATTCTACCTCCCCTCATATAACAAGAGTCTATTCTACCTCCTGGTATAACAAGAGTCTATTCTACCTCTCCTGATATAACAGGAGTCTATTCTACCTCCTGATATAACAAGAGTCTATTCTACCTCCCCGATATAACAAGAGTCTATTCTACCTCCCTGATATAACAAGAGTGGATTCTACCTCCTGATATAACAAGAGTCTATTCTACCTCCCCTGATATAACAAGAGTCTATTCTACCTCCCCGATATAACAAGAGTGGATTCTACCTCCCCTGATATAACAAGAGTCTATTCTACCTCCCTGATATAAAAAGAGTCTATTCTACCTCCCTGATATAACAAGAGTGGATTCTACCTCCCTGATATAACAAGAGTCTATTCTACCTCTCCTGATATAACAAGAGTGGATTCTACCTCCCCCGATATAACAAGAGTGGATTCTACCTCCCCTGATATAACAAGAGTGGATTCTACCTCCCCGATATAACAAGAGTGGATTCTACCTCCCTGATATAACAAGAGGGATTCTCCCTCCTGATATAACAAGAGTCTATTCTACCTCCCCTGATATAACAAGAGTCTATTCTACCTCCCTGATATAACAAGAGTCCATTCTACCTCCCCTGATATAACAAGAGTGGATTCTACCTCCCTGATACAACAAGTGTCTATTCTACCTCCCTGATATAACAAGTGTCTATTCTACCTCTCCTGATATAACAAGAGTCTATTCTACCTCTCCTGATATAACAAGAGTGGATTCTACCTCTCCTGATATAAACAAGAGTCTATTCTACCTCCTGATATAACAAGAGTGAATTCTACCTCCCCTGATATAACAAGAGTCTATTTTACCTCCCTGATATAACAAGGGAGTCTATTCTACCTCCTGATATAACAAGAGTCTATTCTACCTCCTCCTGATATAACAAGAGTCGATTCTACCTCCCCCGATATAACAAGAGTCTATTCTACCTCCCCTGATATAACAAGAGTGGATTCTACCTCCCTGATATAACAAGAGTCTATTCTACCTCCCCTGATATAACAAGAGTCTATTTTACCTCCCCGATATAACAAGAGTGGATTCTACCTCCCTGATATAACAAGAGTCTATTCTACCTCCCTGATATAAAAGAGTCTATTCTACCTCCCCTGATATAACAAGAGTGGATTCTACCTCCCCTGATATAACAAGAGTCTATTCTACCTCCCCTGATATAACAAGAGTGGATTCTACCTCCCCTGATATAACAAGAGTGGATTCTACCTCCTGATATAACAAGAGTGGATTCTACCTCCCCCGATATAACAAGAGTGGATTCTACCTCTCCTGATATAACAAGAGGGATTCTCCCTCCCCTGATATAACAAGAGTCTATTCTACCTCCCCTGATATAACAAGAGTCTATTCTACCTCCCCTGATATAACAAGAGTCCATTCTACCTCCCCTGATATAACAAGAGTGGATTCTACCTCCCCTGATACAACAAGTGTCTATTCTACCTCTCCTGATATAACAAGTGTCTATTCTACCTCTCCTGATATAACAAGAGTCTATTCTACCTCTCCTGATATAACAAGAGTGGATTCTACCTCTCCTGATATAACAAGAGTCTATTCTACCTCCCCTGATATAACAAGAGTGAATTCTACCTCCCCTGATATAACAAGAGTCTATTTTACCTCCCCTGATATAACAAGAGTCTATTCTACCTCCCTGATATAACAAGAGTCTATTCTACCTCTCCTGATATAACAAGAGTCGATTCTACCTCCCCGATATAACAAGAGTGGATTCTACCTCCCCTGATATAACAAGCGTCTATTCTACCTCCCCTGATATAACAAGAGTCGATTCTCCCTCCCTGATATAACAAGAGTCGATTCTACCTCTCCTGATATAACAAGAGTGGATTCTACCTCCCCTCATATAACAAGAGTCTATTCTACCTCTCCTGATATAACAAGAGTGGATTCTACCTCCCCTGATATAACAAGAGTGGATTCTACCTCTCCTGATATAACAAGAGTCTATTTTACCTCCCTGATATAACAAGAGTGGATTCTACCTCTCCTGATATAACAAGAGTGGATTCTACCTCCCTCATATAACAAGAGTCTATTCTACCTCCCTGATATAACAAGAGTGGATTCTACCTCCCCTGATATAACAAGAGTGGATTCTACCTCCCCTGATATAACAAGAGTGGATTCTACCTCCCCTGATACAACAAGAGTGGATTCTACCTCCCCTGATACAACAAGAGTGGATTCTACCTCCCCTCATATAACAAGAGTCTATTCTACCTCCCCTGGTATAACAAGAGTCGATTCTACCTCCTGATATAACAAGAGTCTATTCTACCTCCCCTGATATAACAAGAGTCTATTCTACCTCCCTGATATAACAAGAGTCTATTCTACTTCCCTGATATAACAAGAGTGGATTCTACCTCCTGATATAACAAGAGTCTATTCTACCTCCTCCTGATATAACAAGAGTGGATTCTACCTCCCCTGATATAACAAGAGTGGATTCTACCTCCCCTCATATAACAAGAGTCTATTCTACCTCCCCTGGTATAACAAGAGTCTATTCTACCTCTCCTGATATAACAGGAGTCTATTCTACCTCCCCTGATATAACAAGAGTCTATTCTACCTCCCCCGATATAACAAGAGTCTATTCTACCTCCCCTGATATAACAAGAGTGGATTCTACCTCCCCTGATATAACAAGAGTCTATTCTACCTCCCTGATATAACAAGAGTCTATTTTACCTCCCCCGATATAACAAGAGTGGATTCTACCTCCCTGATATAACAAGAGTCTATTCTACCTCCCCTGATATAAAAAGAGTCTATTCTACCTCCCCTGATATAACAAGAGTGGATTCTACCTCCCCTGATATAACAAGAGTCTATTCTACCTCCCCTGATATAACAAGAGTGGATTCTACCTCCCCGATATAACAAGAGTGGATTCTACCTCCTGATATAACAAGAGTGGATTCTACCTCCCCGATATAACAAGAGTGGATTCTACCTCTCCTGATATAACAAGAGGGATTCTCCCTCCCCTGATATAACAAGAGTCTATTCTACCTCCCCTGATATAACAAGAGTCTATTCTACCTCCCCTGATATAACAAGAGTCCATTCTACCTCCCTGATATAACAAGTAAGAGTGGATTCTACCTCCCCTGATACAACAAGTGTCTATTCTACCTCTCCTGATATAACAAGTGTCTATTCTACCTCTCCT